GGGGAGGGAGGGAGGGAGAATCAGATTTGTTATTCCTGGATGGGCTGCTGTGCACGTGGGCGCCAAGCTCTGAGACTCAGTGAGGGTGATGGGTCACTACAACCACGCAGACGATCCTGGAATGCTTCGTGGCTCCCAGAGACATCTTCGCGTTCGTGGGGTCGACTCTCCAGCCAACCCCACGGGACAGTGTGGTTATGACGTCACAGAGGAGGAACCCGCGGGGCAGGGCCTTGAGCGACTTCCAAATTCACGGCAAATGGAAGGCAGAGCGCACCTCGCCATCCGAGCTTCCTTCCCGCGGGGCCACGCTCGAAGGTCTTAGGAAAATATAGAAACAAAACCAAACCCAGCCGGTGTGGCTCCGTGGGTTGGGCGTGGTCCCGGGCACTGGAAGGTCGCCAGTTCCATTCCCAGTCAGGGCACGTGTCCAAGTTGTGGGCTCGATCCCCAGCAGGGGGCGTGCAGGAGGCGGCCGACCGATCGATGTTCAACTCTCACATCAGTGTTTCTCTCTCCCTCTCCCTTCCTCTCTCTCAGAAAATCAGTTTAAACATCTTTAAAAAATGACCTCCGTCGAGGACTCGGGCCTTCAAAGTGGACGAGAGGCGTCTGAACCACATCAGCAGGTAAGAGGCCAGTGCGCACGTCACTGATGCTCCTGGAACCCGGTCCAAGGTGACGTGCTGCATGTGGACAGTTTGGGAAGACACCTTTTCAACACGCAAGCGCGCGCACACACACACGGACAGTCGAAGGGCCTCCCACACATGGGTTGGTGACAAAATTAATCACGTGGAGATGGCTTGTGCACGCGACGCCCCGGGTGAATGTTTGCTGAGCGCACCCGGGCTCAGCACGTGAGGGGCAGCCATTAGCCGCCAGGAGGGTCCTTGCGGGAGCCGCTGCCCTGCTGACTCAGCTCCCGGGCGGGCACCGTCCGCACCTGGCTCCCCCGAGACGCGGGGCCCGGACCTCCCGTCCCCAGGGACACGCGGGGCCGGGCTGGGTGGGCCCCGCTCGCAGATGCCCGGGGAGCGTGAACACGGGCGAAAGTCAACAGGAGGAGAGGCCGGGGCGGCGCTCAGGGCCTGTTTGCCACGTCCGCCCTCGGGCGGGTGAGAGCCGGTGCCGGGCGAGAGTCCGCCTGGCGCTTGCCCCTCACCACGTCAGCGTGTGTTTCCTAAACCCTGAGACACGGCCTCCTGGAGGTCAGCCCTGGTCCGGCCGTCAGGACCCCCCGGGCCCCACCTCGTTCCCGTTCCACGTGGTCGTGACGAGTCCTCATGTCACGAGAGAAACTGGCCACAGCCCCAGGCCGGCCGCCGGGTGGCCATGCTGCTCGACTCCTCCACCTCGTTCCGGCTGCTTTCTATTGCAGGACCATTTGTAAGGAAACGAAAAGGCGTTTGCTAGAACGTCCCGGGTGAATCCTCCTGCTGTTCCTTTATGACCTGTGCGTCGTCGGCTTTGGGCGGGACACACAGACGGGAGGGTCCGCCCTCCCTGCGGGGCCCGGGCACCTGAGCTCAGGTTGTCCTGAAGGTGTTGTGGACCTGGATGGCATGGGCCGGGGTGTGTGCTGACCACTTCTGCCACTGGATTGGCTCTGCCCTCCCTTTGTAATCAATACCTATTGGAGTAGGGGGGGAGGGGCTCCCCGGTTTGGCTCAGTGGATAGAGCGTCGCCTGCAGACTGAAGGGTACCAGGTTCAATTCCGGCCTAGGGCACATTCCCAGGTTACAGGCTCAATCCCCGGTAGGGGGCGTCAGGAGGCAGCCGATCAATACTTCTCTCTCATCATTGATCTTTCTCTCTCTCCCTCTCCCTTCCTCTCTGAAATCAGTAAAAATATCTTTTAAAAAATAGCTATTCAGGGGGGAGGTACTTTGAGACTGTAAATATTTTGTTTCTCAAAAATATTTTATCCACTAGCTTCAGCTCCTGATGCTGGCTGCCGAAATCCGTTATTCCTACAATCATTGCCCAATGGTGGTTTTCTGAGGAATAACAGCATTATCCCTTTAAGCTGGAATCATTCCTCCTACACGCACTTCATGATTAGTGTCTTTTGGGAAGTAGGAACTATTCTTCCATTCTCCCGCTCATTCATTCACTCATTCATTCATTCATTCGCATTGGCGTGGACTCACGGGTTCTTTTCTCCCCGACAGGTTATCTTCGTCAGTGGCCTGGGCCTTGAGTCTCGGGCTGTTCTCGACCGTGGCAGCGGGCCCCGCACAGCCGGCTCTGGGCCCGTGGGCGAGGCCTTCGTCTTTCCTGGAGCCGTTGCTTACCTTCCTGGACAGAAAGATCCTCTGGACACGCCCGGCATTTCCCAGGGCCCAGTTCCGGGAAGAATTTCTTTGTCCAGCGCTTCTTCCTTTTGAGGAGAAGCTATTCTGAGACTCAAGATCTGGGCCTGAGGTGTGCTCATTGCTGCGGAGTGTCATCGCTTCTGGCCCCGTGGACAGAGCTGGGAAAACAGGTATCGATGACAGGTAGGTAGGTAGGTGATAGAGAAGTAGATAGATAGGTGATAGATAGAAATAGATATGATAGGTAGGTAGATAGATAGATGATAGATAGATAGATAGATAGATAGATATAGATAGGTAGAGCAGAAAATATACTTGAGTTCTTTCTAATTCCTCCAGTTAGGTTTTTTATAGTCTATTCTTACCGAACATCACAGCATAAACCCATTATTCCTTAGGGAAGAGCATGGGAAATGGGGTGACTTTATGCAAATATTTTGATAATTTGGCAAAAGATTCCCCCAGCGTCCCCCAGCCCACCTGTTCCTGCTGCAGTCAGCAGGGTCAGTAGTCAGCGCTGGGACTTGGGATCAACAGCGAGAGCCTCTCCGGGAGTTAGAATTCACATCACCAAATCCCTCGAGGGGGGATCACTTGGAGTAAATGTGCTCAATTAGCTCTCACGCCTGGGCCCTTACAGGCCCCTGTGACATCCATTGAAAGCCAGTGCCCAGGGGTGGTGCTCAGGGTGGTGAATGTTCATCTGGGGAGCGAGCCGGAGTCTGGGAGGCGGGGATACAGTTTGCAAGCTCCGCCTGTCCCGCGGCTCCAGACGTCACATTGCCCCGCACACGGGTTTGCTCTCTGCGCAGGAGGAAAGGCTGTCCGCGGGGACCTCTCCGTCCCTGTCGCTGTCTCCCTCTCACCCCCGTGTGTTTCAATACACACAATTTTAAATATATACATTATTGATTTCAGAGAGGAAGGGAGAGAGAGATAGAAACACCAATGATGAGAGAGACTCTAGCCGGTTTGGCTCAGGATAGAGCGTCAGCTGGCAGATCAAAGAATCCCAGGTTCGATTCTGGTCAAGGGCACGTACCAGGCTCCTCACTGGCACAGCTCCTGGTTGGGGCTCGTGCAGGAGGCAACCAATCGATGCGTTTCTCTCACATTAATGTTTCTCTCTGTCTTTCCCTCTCTGTTCCACTCTCTCTGAAAAATATCTTTGGGCGAGGATCAACAACAACAAAAATGATGAGAGACGATCATTGACTGGCTGCCTCCTGCACGCCCCCTACCGGGGATCAAGCCTGCAGCCTGGGCATGTGCCCTGACCAGGAATCAAACCGTGACCTCCTGGTTCATGGGTCGATTCTTAACCACTGATCCACACCGGCCTGGCACTATATATACAATTTTTTTAAATTTAAATTATTGTTTAAAGTATTACATAGGTCTCCTTTTCCCCTGTTCATTATAATCCACAAATGAGTGAGATCATGTGATATTTATCTTTCTCCGACTGGCTTATTTCGCTTAGCATAATGGTCTCCGGGTCCATCCATGCTGTTGCAAATGGTAAGAATTCCTTCTTTTTCACCGTAGCGTAGTATTCCATTGTGTAGCTGTACCACAGTTTTTAATCCACTCACCTGCTGATGGGTATATATACAGTTTTAACAGTGGCTAAATGAAATGATAACATTGTGTAAAGTGGGGAATATATCAGGACATCAGCTGGTGAATTCTAACTTCCTGGTAAGTATTCAACACAATAAAATAAAAAATGTAGAGAGAGGGAAAAGCACATAGACTTGACAAGTCGCCTAGTGTCAACATTAAGAGGAATTCAACAGCAGCCGGTCGGAGCTCAGCCGCGGGAGTCCTCCCGCAGCAGGGCTGATGCCGGGGCGGAGGCTGGACAGCGTGGGGCTGGAGGAGGATCGCGGAGCAGTCGTCCCAGGAAAGTCCTCAGATGTGTCAGGTGCTTGACCTTTGTGGCTGAGGAACCAGGAGGAGAAAAACATCTGCGATGCTGGCCCCCTGGGGGTGCCAGGCTGTACATGGGCAGCTTGAGGCACAGATGCTGTTCTGATAGGATCTGAGCAACTTTCTGGCCAGACCAGATGTGACGGTTGGTGTCACATGTGAACTTGGCGGGTGCTGGTCCCGGCTGTGCGAGGTTCACCCAGGCGTCCGCGTGAAGGTGCTGGTGACTGTGAGCCACGTACACACTCAGTGGGTGTTGTCCAGAGCCATCGTCCCAGTACCGGGGCCCATCCAATCAGCACAAAGGCTCTAGGGGGGAGCTGAGGTTCCCTGAGGAAGAAGACACCCCACCCGTGGACACTCCAGCCTCCCCTCCTCACAACCTCCCCTCCCCACAGCCTGCCCTCCCCACGGCCTCTCTCTCTATTATTTATCTCTATCTCTATATCTGTATCTATATGTACCTATCATCTATAACCTATGTATCTATCTCTATATATCTACATATCTATATCTATCATCTACCTATACCTATTATCAATATCTGTATATCTATGTATCACCCATCTATCTCTCTCTATTATTTATCTCTATCTCTATATCTGTATCTATATGTACCTATCATCTATAACCTATGTATCTATCTCTATATATCTACATATCTATATCTATCATCTACCTATACCTATTATCAATATCTGTATATCTATGTATCACCCATCTATCTCTCTCTATTATTTATCTCTATCTCTTATATCTATCATCTATGTCCCTATCATCTATAACCTATGTATCTATCTCTATATATCTACATATCTATATCTATCATCTACCTATACCTATTATCAATATCTGTATATCTATGTATCACCCATCTATCTCTCTCTATTATTTATCTCTATCTCTATATCTGTATCTATATGTACCTATCATCTATAACCTATGTATCTATCTCTATATGTCTCCGTATCTATATCTATCTGTCATCTACCTATATCTATCTATTATCTATATCTGTCTGTATCTGTGTCATCCATCTATCTATCTCTATCTATTATCTCTCTCTATCTCTGTCTGTATCTCTATCTCTATCTGTATCTATATCTATGCATCTATCATCTATCGCCTGTATTTCTGTCTCGGTCATCCTCTATCCGTCCTCTGTCCAGCTGGTTCTCTCTCCGTGGAGCCCTCACTGACACGCCGCGTTCAGTGACCCTGCCCGGCTAGGCCCTGCTTCCTTTCCCAGCAGAAGGACGGGCTCCTCCAGGGACAAGACTCCGGAGGAGACGGATCCTGACCGTGGGCACCCCACGTGCTCTCTGTCCCTCTGGCTCCACAGAGGCCTGTGCGCTCTCTGTCCAGGGCCCCTGTCCTCGCCGATCTTGGGAGGATCCCGGGAAGGTCTCCTACCCCCACCTCTGCCCACCGGCAAAGGAGGACGGACTCACCCCATCCCGCTGGCTCCCGAGTTCGATCCCGCGCAGCCCAGCTCCTGCAGTCCCCGCGAGTGCCTGAAGACGCACGGCCTTGAAGACGCAGAGGGACCATTTGCCGTCAGGTAACACCCACGTCTGCGTCCATGAGCCTTTCAGAGACGCTCGGTCGCTCGGGTGACGGTGTCTTCTGAGGCCAGC